CCCGGCCCTCCCCCCGGGGGATGGGCCCGGGACGCTCCCCGGCTGGGGCGCACGGCACCCCGAGTCCACTTGGCACTGTGCGCGCAGGGTGTGTGCCTGGCATGAGGGCTGCCCAGCCCAAGGCTCGGCGGGGGCCACGCCGCGACCCCGTGGCTTGCCCCCTGCTTGGAACGGCATAGGCCGGTGGCGCTGCCTCAGTTGCCCGCCTGCCCGGGGCATCTCAGCCCCCAAGTGAGCACAGAGGCCCCCAGCCCCAGCCCAAGTGGGAGGGGCCGCGCCTCCCCGTCCACACCGCCAGCCAGCAAACCCGCAGGGCTGTCGAATGCGGCACAGCGGAGCAACACGTGACACCCTCCCTCCCCTCACCTGAGTCAAGCTGCCGCCGCCCGTCTCTCTCCCAAACGGGGCATATGCACTCCGCTCGCCACTCTTACCTGCAGGGGAGGACGGAGGTCACCACCCGGCGCCCCGCACACACTGCGTGCAGCAGGCACTCAGCACATGCACAGGACTGAGACCTACGGGGACACACAGAGCCCTGCCTTCTCGGAGCCATTCTGTCCCCCAGCACTGGGCGTGGGAGCAGGAAGGGGACCCCCGCAGACCTAGGGCCAACATGGAGCGTTCCACAACCCCACGCCCGGCCGAGTCTGAGTCCCTGCTCAAGGTCGTGTCTTCCAGGTCACACGTGCTGCCCTGGGCTGTCGGCTCCTGAGGCATTTCTGTCCCGTGGGACTGGCCTGGGAGGCCCTGGCGGGGTCCCTGTAGGAGCCGTGCATGGCCTTTGTGTCCACCAGGCTCCACACCCAAACCCTGGGGCGCCCTCATGTTCCCTGCCCGGCAGCTCCGGGACAGCGGTCAGCTCTTGAATGAGCACGCACGCAGCGCCCGGCCCGGGTGCTGTCCAGGACGGCTTAAGCTGCTCGGTCACAAGGGAGGTCGGGCCTGGCTGCAGGGAACAGCCTGCCGGGGGTGCCCCCGAGGGTAACCCTGCCGCTGCTCGCACACCTGGATGCAGTTGCGCCTGCAGCAGGCACCTGAGGCTTTGGCTAAAACCAAGTGCCCGGTCCACGGCCGGCTTATCTCAACTATTCCCTGGGCGGGAAATGGCATCTCTCGGTCTATTTATTTTATTTTGTTTATTTTCATTTATTTATTTATTTATTTGTTGTTTTTTTTTTTTTTTGAGTTGGAGTCTCACTCTGTCGCCCAGACTGGAGTGCAGTGGCTGCTCCCGGCCACCGCAGCCTCGACCTGCTGGGCTCCGGCGATCCTTCCGCCTCAGCCTTCCGAGCAGCCGGAATTACAGGCATGCGCTACTACGTCCGGCTGATTTTTTTTATTTTTATTGTAGAGATGAGGTCTCGCTGCCCAGGCGGGTCTCGAACCCGCGGGCTTAGGCAATCCCCTCACCTCAGCCTCCCAAAGGCGCGGGATTACAGGCTGAGCCACCGAGCCCGGCTGGTCTACTTATTTTAAAAGTATAACTTTAGGCAGGGTGCAGTGGCTCAGCCCGTAATCCCAGCACTTTGGGATGCCAAGGTGAGGGGATTGCCTGAGCCCACGGGTTCGAGAACAGCCGCGCAGCTTGGCGGGACCTCATCGCTACAACACATCAAAAAATCGGCGAGGCCTGGTGGTGCACACGTGTGGTTCCAGCTACTTGGAAGGTCGAGGCCGAGGGATCGCCTGAGCCCAATAGGTCAAGCCTGGGCGGCCGAGTGAGACACCAACTCAAAAAGAAAAAGCACGATTCTGATCAACTCCCGGCACACACATGGCTGGGCCCGTCTTCCTGGTCTGCTCGGCGTGGTGACCTGGGGAGGCGCAGGCAGGCCACATCCCTGGCGGCGGCTGGCCCCATTCCCTCCACGGCGAGAAGGCCGAGGCTGGGAGCCGACGGGGCCGGAGCCGCCGGAGCCGCGGAGCCTGGGGGACGGGGCCGGAGCCGCCGGAGCCACGGAGCCTGGGGTCGCACGGCCTTCCTTCCTCCGGGGGCCCCGCCCGTCTCTCCCAGCTTCCTGGTGCCACCGGAGAGGCCACAGCAACAGTCACATGGCCCCTGCCAGCCTCGGGAGCCCTGGGGAATGTGAGAACGAGGCCAGAGAGCCTGGCGACCAGGGGCACAAGGAGCCCAGGCCATGGGCCTCACCTCCCTCGCCTGGGAACCAGGTGCAAGGCGCACAGCGCAGGCGGGAGCTGACCCGCGGCAGCCAGGTGCCCAGCCCGCTCCGGGGGAGACCCTGAGAGCCCGCCCGCGCAAGAGACCCTCCCAGGGAGAGACCCCCCAGGGCGAGATCCCCGCAGCTCCCCGAGGGCGAGGTCCCTGGGACCCCTCTAGGAGTGAGACCCCTGAGATTCCGCTAGGGCAAGACCCCAGGAGCCTTCCAGGGTGAGACCTCTGGGACCCTCTTAGGATGAGACCCCCGAGGCCCCACTAGGGTGAGATCCCCGGGACCCCCAGGGAAAGACCCCTTCTGGCCACTTCTAGGGACGAAACTCCCTTCCCCAGAGACGCCTGCGCTCCCATGACCCTTACCCTGCCCCCGACTCTCCCACAGGGGCCTGCTGGGGTCACTGAGCAGGAGGGACGGCCGTCCTGGCCTTAGGGTCCCTGGGGCGCCAGCCGCGATCTCTGGCCTGGCCCCTGGCCCCAAAGCCTCCGTCTGCTCATCTGCAGGATGAGCCGAGCCTGTGGGGGCCAGAAGCAACAGGGACGGGCGGCCAGGGGCCCTGGGCGTGCAACAGGACCTGGGAGCCGGCCTCACCCTGCCGTGAGGAAGACCCTGGGCGGACCCTACCCAGGTGGCGAGGCAGGTGCGAGGCGGCGCCTGGGACCGGTCTGCGGATGCCCAGATCCTCTGCTTAGGGCGATGCCGTCCAGGGAGGGGGCGGCCGGCAAGGGCAAAGGCGGCTGGACCCCGTGCCCTGGCCGCCCCCCCGGTGCTCACAGCAGGAGGAGCCACAGCCACCTCCAGCCAGACGCAGGACCAGCACGGCCTCTTGCCTCCACAGCCCAGGGGAGACCGAGTCACAGACTGCTGTCTGGGAACCCTGGGCATCGTGCCTCTGCTGGGAGGCCAGCCGTGCTCGCGGGTGGAGGCTGCAGCCAGCCCGCGGGCACATCCAAGCCGCACTCACCTCCAAGGCCTGGTCCCGGAAATGTGGACGAAGACAGGCTGCCGGGGGGCTCCCCGAAGTGCGCACCGTCGCCATAGGTCTGTGGGCGGCAGGCAGTCAGGGCACGGCCGGCCACCTGTCAAGCCGCTCTCGGGGCAGACGGGGTGCCCACGGACACACCTCAGCCCCGCTCCCCGCTTCGGGGGCAGGACCACACCCCGGGCCTCCCAGGACTCCTACCCGGCTGGCGTCGCCGTCCTGGTCGCTGGCGCCCCAGGAGCCTGGGCCGGGCCGGGCCTCGAGACCTGCAGGGCAGTGGGGGAGCAGGAGGCACCCTCATGACGGCGTTCTTCTGCCACTGCGGTCCACCCCGTCGGCCCAGAGAGGCCCGTCAGCAGTGCTCGGCCTGGAAACCCCGGACTCTGCATCCACGGCCTGCAGCTCCGGCAACTGCCCACTAGCTACCTCTGCTGGCAAACTCCTACCCATCTGTCAAGGCACCAGCCATCATGCCCACCCTGGGCAGAGCCTTCAACGTCACGCTGAGCCATGGGACTGGGCTATCTCCTGAGGTACAGGCTCTACTGACCCCGCGAAAGAAGCAGGGCAGACGGCAGACAGCAAGCGCCCCTCAACCCCCCTTCCCGCCACTCCCGAGGCGAGACGGGCCCCAGGCAGGCCGGCGGGAGGAAGGACCAGGCCCCACCCAGGAGCAGGCCGGCCCGGAGGCCGCGGCACAGAAGGGGTTACCAGCCCTGGCTGAGGACCGTGGTCCCCAGGCGGGCGAGGCGGGGGGGGGCCCTTATCGCCCTGCACAGGCTCACGGGGACACGCGGGGTGGCTGCCAGGGCTCCGGAGCCTTCCACGGGGGCAGCAAGCCTGCTCGGATCCGTCCCGGGCTGCCATCCTCGGTGAGCCCCAGAGCAAGCACGCACAGTCCCGGGCCCTCAGCCTGGCCACAGGCCGACCCCTGTGCCTCAGTTTCCCTCTCTGCAAGCGGGGACACAGACAGCTCCCTCTGCCGGACTGAGGTGTCCATGGCCCACCTGTGACCGGCCTCACCTGCCCCCAGCCCAGCAGGATGGGCCCCACGCAGCCTCCGCCCCCTCCCCCAAGCCAGAAAGTGTCTTCCGAATCACAGGCTTCCATTTTGATGCCTTTGTGCTCTCCCTCCTCCTCAGGGAACTGGCGTTTAATAGCTGTCTAATTTGCATGATTATGCATATTAATCTCCCAGTCTGATGAATATTCGTGTCTCATTTAGCTTCCCCCCAGTCAAAAATTGTGACTATTAGTGGGGGCTGGGACACGGCCTTGGCGGGCGGGGGCCAGGCGGGGCTGCGGTCTCGGAATCCACAGGGCAGGTGTTGCCAGGTCTGGGGCCCTCAGCCTCCCAAGATCCGAGGCCCTCACGCGGGTCCTGGCAGGCCGAGGCCAGGCAGGCGGGCTGTGGGCCCGGGCAAAGCACGGGGAGGCCCGGGCCCC